CCCGCCTGCCCGGGCCCCTGGCGCCCGCCCGCAGGCTGCAGGCCCCAGGGCTCGCGTCTGGCTTCGTGGGGGAACTGCTGGCTTCCGCCCCTGGTGTTGCTTGGGTGGAAGTCTGCGGAGGAAGCCTGGCCTCTCGCACGTGCAGTTGGAAAAGCGGGAGTGCTTCCTCCCCCGGGGCTCCGTGGGTCACACCTGGGGCCTGTGCTCATGGCCTGCCGTTCCAGGGCGGCCGCGAGCTTGTCTGCTGTGTTCAGGGCCGCTTCCCAGGGTGTAGCCCAGGTTAGGTGCTGGGAGGATGCTCGTTCAATGAGGGAATTCCAGGCCGCGCTTAATCAGAACCTCTGCTTCCCTCAGAGCTCCCCAAGGCATCTGGTTCTCAGGCATTCCACTTCTCCTTCACTTCTGGGACTTCACTTCTGGGACCTGGCTTCCTGTGCCTGAGGGTGCCCTCCCCCCTTCTTTCCCTGGGACCCCTGTGTGTGGGACTCCAGCTCGGCTCACCTCTTCAGCTTCCTAGGCTGCTGAAACTCACCCTCCGGTCTTTCTCCCCTACTGGCTTTCTGGATTCTTGAAGACAGGCATTTGACAGCTGTTGCATGTGCTGGATAGATCAAATCTGCAGGAGCAGAGCTCTCAGGGAGACTTCACAGCCCTCGTTTTGTAGGTTGGAAACAGGCAGGAGGGCGAGGCTTCCCTGAAGTTGGAGAGAGGACTCGCCCGGGGTCCCTGGGTTCCTCAGTACACTCGCTGTTGCCCTCTGGGCCTCTCTTCTCCCTTGGCCTTTCCTGGGCTCCCTGATGGCAGCCGGGGATGTACTTATAAATGTGTTCAAGCTGTCACCACCAGCCATGTTGCTTTGACTGGTAGTTGAGCCTCTGGGAGTCTCAGTTTCCTCATCTGTAAGATGGGAATGATGATATGTATTTTATAGAGTTGTTGGAATAATAAGCATGGAAATGTTTGTCAGCGCCTGCCTTACAATAGTGTTCAATAAAAGCAGGTGCATTTTCTCCTGTTTATTCCCAGAGATCCCATCAACCCCTTTCTTGGTTTGAGAGCACGGAACCCTCCCAGTTTCTCATCTGCTGTTTATTTGACACCGGAGGCCATCCTGCCCTTCCTCCTTTGGTGTTCCTGTTTAATCGCTAGCCCTAATCTCATGGAGCTCAGCCATGCAGGGCAGCCATAAATGCATAGCCCTGGTGAAGTGCAGGGAGCATCTGGGGTGGGGATAGGGGTGCTTACTCTCTGAGGGCAGCACTGGATTGGACTCCTGAAGACGAGGGTGGAGGGGGGCCAGGTAGAAGGGCATCTGGAAAGGTCTGTGAGGTGGGGGGAGGAAGGTGGGTGCTCCTGTGGCTGCCCCGGCTGCCGCCACCAGTGTCTCAGGTGTTGCCTGGCCCTCCGTGGGCCCCTCAGTATTTCCATGTGGGTGGCTGGTCCTTTCAGAATGGATGCTCTTCTGCCCAGTGCTCTGCTGGTACAGTAGGGCCAGGTGAGGTTCATGTCTCCTGGTAGGGGGTGGCTGGCCTTGTGTGTCCTTCAGCAGTGTCTACCAGCCAGGCTTGGCACTATCCTGCAGGCATCCAAGAACCGGGCTGGTGGGGAGAGCTGGTAGAGAAGACGCCTTCCAGAGGGCATCGTGTCAGGAGAGATGCCTACCTGTGTCTGTCATGGCATGTCTTTCATATGAACACACTTCTGAATTTTATGATGAAAGTCAATGGAAGACAACTTATCTGTGAAAAAAAGTTTAAGTGTCAGCTTTAGTAAAGCTTCAGTTTGAGTCTGAATATTTGCTGAGTTTTGATGGTGAACTGGGTACCAAGGAACCTGGAGGAATATGGCTCCCTTCTTCAGGGAGCCAGTGAGCAGGTCAGTACAAGGCAGGTGACAAGTACTGTGACCAAGGGAAGCACAGGGGCCATGTGAGCTGGGAGATGGACCCTGGGAGCACCCAGGTAGCCCTCCCGGAGTAGGTGGCCCCTGAGCTAGTATTGGTCAGGGCCCTTCTGTTTAAAGGTTGTGGCAACTGTGTGACTTTCTATAGCTTCTGTAACAAAGTCCCGCAAACTCTCTGGCTTAGAGTAACACATGTATTCTTTTCTACTTCTGGAGGTCAGAAGTCCAAAATCATCTTCCCTGGGATCCCCTCTGCTTCAGACTCTCCCTGTGGTAGCTGAGTGGCCCCTGGGACTGTGGGCCTGCATAGTCTGGGTAGTTCTAGGCACTGGAGGAGAGACAACCTGGGCTTGAGTCTCCCAGGGAGGATTTGATGGTGCAGTGTGGGTCATACGTTCCTCTTTGAACCAATCACTGCGGGCCTCTGACTGGAATTGGGGGGCAGCCCTCCCCACACATGGAATTGGGTGAGGTTCCTCCACAAAACAAGAGCTACTGAGCAGACCAGAACATCTCACAGAGAGCAAAAGGTGGCAAACAAAAGCAGCCAATGCCTATACCTGCTGTGGTCACACAGCACCAGGCTGACTCGGCTTCTGGTGGTGTTCCTGGCCCACAATGGCTGATTCTACAGGGTAGATCTCGGGTAAGGCAGATATCTCAGGCTGGTTGTTCCTCTGCATTCCCACATGCAGCTGAGATTGTGATGGGTAACTTGTTAGAACAGTACTTCTCAGATTTTTTGGTCTCAGAACTGTTTACCCTTTATAAAAATTACTGAGGGCTGGGCATGGTGGCTCACATCTATAATCCCAGCACTTTGGAAGGCTGAGGCAGAAGGATTGCTGGAACCCAGGAGTTCAAGACCACCCTGGGCAACATAGCAAGACTTTGTCTCTACAAAAAAGTTTAAAAATTAGCTGGGCATGGTGGCTCGCACCTGTAGTTCCAGCTACTCTGGGAGGCTGAGGTGGAAGGATCGCCTGAGCCTAGAAGGTTGAGGCTGTAGTGAGCTGTGATTGCGCCACTGCACTCCAGCCTGGGTAAGAGTGAGATCCTGACTCAAAAAAATATTATTGAAGATGCCAAAGAACTTTTGTTTATTTGAGTGAATTATGTTTTCCGATGCCTACTGTCCTAAAAATTAAAGCTGAAAAATGTTAAAAAATTAACTTATTTAAAAATAATAAACTTGTGACATATTAACATAAAAAACGTTATTTATGAAAACAAACTATTTTCCAAAATGAAAAAAATTGAAGAATGAGATTGTTTTGCTTTTTTGAAACTATCTGTAATATATGCATAATAGACAGTTGGATTTTCCTGTCTGCGTCTGTTTAGTCTCTTGCGATAGTTTTTTTTTTTTTTTCTTTTTTTAGCCACCGCGTCCACCCATGACTCTTTCATGAGAACAGAATCTCCTGTATTTTGGGAGAATGCTCCTCTTCTCCCACTCCAGCCTTGTGGCTGTAGTAAGAGTTGCCAGTGGTAGCTACTTGCCTTTATAACCTCTGTTCATTAGTGGGCACACCTCCCATGAGATTATATAGAAACTCCAGAGAGCAGGAATCTTGTCTCCTATGTTTACTACTCTACACCAAAGCCAGAACAGTGACTGACATATAAATGCTCAAAAAATGTTAGCCAGGCGAGATGGCTCATGCTTGTCATTCCAGCACTTTGGGAGTTGGAGGTTAGAGGACTACCTGAACCCAGGGGTTAAAGACCAGTCTGGGCAACTTGGCAAGACCTCGTCTCTACAATAAATGAAAAAAATTAGCCAGGCGCGGTGGCACGTGCCTGTAGTTCCAGCTACTTGGAAGGCTGAGATGGAAGGATTGCCAGAGCCCAGCAGGTCGAGGCTACAGTGGCCGTGAGTGTGCCCCTGCACTCCAGCTTGGGCGACAGAGTGAGACTCCGCCTCAAAAAAAAAATCTAAGGAAAATACTTTGGGAGAAACATAATTTACTGAACGAATGTACAGTTATTTTACTGTTTCCTAAAGAGGACTGCTCCTTCACATGCAGCCGTTTCACGCAGGCTGAAAGCTCAGTGGCGGGCCTGTTACCCACTACTCAGTGACAACACTATATGTCCCGAGTTGCAGGAACCCACAAGACCAACAGCCAAAAGGTGCCCTCTTGAAAGCACGCCTCCCTTGGGCCTGCGGGAGGGGAGGACACCCAGGACCCAGGCGGGGAGTTCGGAAGCCTCTAGGGTGGGGCATGGTCCTGGGTCCTATGGGTGCAGAGGCCCAAGGACGTCCCCCTGTCGATCCCCTCAGTAGGTCCCCGTGGGCCTACCTGCCCCATGCACCTCATAGTGGGTCCCACACTTGTCCTTCAGGGTGGTGAGGAGCAGTCAGTGGTGGGAGCTGCAGGTGGGGTTTGCCGGGCTCACCTCTGGCCCGACAGGGTCAGCTCCACCTACATACCCTTGCCCAGGTTCCTCAGCCCCAAGGCAGGCAGGCTTCTCTGATGCTGCGCCTACACCCCACAAGCAGTAGTGTCTTAAAGATTTGTACCAAAGTGGAGTCTCCACCTTGTCAGTGAACTTCCTACTGGGTGACATTAAAATCCTTTGGTCGTTCTTGCACTCTGGATGGATCTTTTGTTCTTGCAGGATCTTGCCTCTTTATGCATTGTTTGGAAAATGCTGGTTCGCTGAGTTATGTAGACCTTCCAGATACTGACACGTTTACTTGTTCAGTTGCAGAAGATCATGTGCATTATGTCACTGCCCGTCTCATCAGGAAGGTCTTGAAGTATGAAGCTGTCAGGCTCACAGTGGAGGATACAAATGTTCTCAACTCTAATTTTTGCCTGAAAACACCATTTTTATTACAGTTTTCCTTGAAGTGACATGTTCACTTCATTCACATTTGAGAAGGTGTCTGCCAAGGACCCAAGTCAGAATAACCATGTTGTGTCTCTCATTCTTTTTAGTAACAGTGGCCTTGATGACTGAGAAAGCTGTGCATTCAACTTGCAGCCCAGTCATGGCAGGGCTTCCCTGGGATGAAGTTGCCCTTCAGTTTGCAGCAGAAGGGCGTTTATGTATTTCCTGTTTTGTCATACACAATATTAAGAATGTGTATACTCTGAGATCAAGATGTAATAAAGTTAGTTTTCCTGGCTTCACCAAGGATGTTCTTCCAGGAAGCTGTCCCATTCTTTCTTGCAAGTGGTGGAAGCATGCCAGCCAGGTCAAGTGGCTGTCTGGGGTCCAGCTTAGGCTCCCGTGGCCTTACTTGCCGTTGACTTTGCCCCGTCAGCACCACATCAACACAGTGAGAGGGGCAAATAACATCTGGGCATTAGGAACATAGTTTTGACCCTGTTGGACCTTGGGACCTCAGGACATTCAGAGAACTGAGTCTTAGAAGGCCCAGCACTGCCTCTTCTCCTTGTTTGCCATTTTAGTGTGCTGGACTCAGGCTCTTCAAGGCCAAGATCTGTTGGTTAGAGAGGATTCTGACCACACCCATAATGGGCCAGGCCACTAAGAAGCTGGTGACACTTAAAACATGGTTCACGTGGTAGCGTGTGCCTGTAGTTCTAGCTCCTTGGAAGGCTGAGGTGGAAGGATCGCCAGAGCCCAGCAGGTCAAGGCTATGGTGGCTGGGAGCGTGCCACTGTACTCCAGCCTGGGCGACAGAGTGAGACTCCAACTCAAAACAAACAAACAAAAACATGGTTCAAAGTGACTTTAGCAATAAGAAATTTTGTTCATGTGGCTGAAGTGCCTTGGGAGGACCGGTGTTAGGGTGCCCGGGACTCTGGTGATGACACCTGGACCTTCGCTTCTGCCCTTTCCGTTCTGCCTGTTTTTCTGTGTCTCAAGGTAGCTGCTTCCAAGGTGGCCCCAGGCTCTTTCAGGTGGACCTTCTGTCTACTCCAAAGGCTGTATTCCTGCTCTCACGCTCCCTGGGTCTCCCACAGGACAGTCCCGTACCAGGGCTGGATTTCAGCTGCTTCTTGCCCCTGGTGTCCTTGTGCAGTACCCGACCTACACAACTGTACAAAGCAGTCCCACATGTGCCCATCCTAAATCAGTCACCATGGCCCAGGAAGGTGGTGACTGGAGGGTTCTCTGGAGCGAGACAGGCACATTTACCAAGCGAAAGCAGAATGGGTGTCAGCCAGCAAGGAAGTCTACTGCACTGGAGTTTATAGGGTGTGGGTTTTGGGAATTCTGTAGTAGTCAAGAATTTTTTAGAATTTCTCTGATCACTTTGACCCTTATAACTTTTTTCTATTTGATCATGAATGGCGCAGGTAACCCGGGAGGCCCAAGTGATCCTGAGATGGGCACAATGAGCAGCTGGCAGAAGATCTTTGCCCAAAATGTGCTCATCCCTCCCTACCCTCAGAGAGCACGCCAGTTTTCGAAGGAATCCACAGCATTTCAGTGCATCCTGAAGTGGCTTGATGGACCCATAGTCAAGCAGGTAACGAGACTGTGCAGTCTGTGATGGGTTGACTTGTGATTTTTCTACTTTGGTGATACCCGTACAGCCATTCTGTTTGTCATCTTTATCAGTGTTCAATAAATTACATGAGATATTTAACACTGTTATAAAACAGGCTTTATGTTAGATAATTTTCCCCAGCTGTAGGCTTATGTGAATGTCTGAGCACGTTCGAGGCTGGGCTGAGCCAGGATGTTCGGTGAGTTAGATGTAGTAAATGCATCTCAGTTTCTGATATTTTCAGCTTATAGTAGGTTTATCGGGATGTGGCCCTGCCATAAATTGAGGAGCATCTGTATTGATTTTCACTTATTTGAGCCTGACCACCATCCCCATTACCTTGGGCCCTGGCAGGATTTGGAGGCAAAGTGGCCCATCAGCAAAGAGAATATGTGATTCAGTGATTTGTCAGCATTTTTGACCCTGGGTAAGGGTTTCTTTCTGTCCACGGTGGAGCAATTAAAAACCCAAGTACCCTGACTTCCTGGGTTGTTTCTGAGCCAGGTGGCCTTGTGCGTGGCTCAGCATGGCCTCCTTCAGCCTGGCAGTGAGGCCCGCAGGGGCAGATCTCTGGGTATCTTGGCAGCTCTGTCTGTGGCTGGATGTACTACAGCCTTTTGCACACTCAGCCCTGTGCCCAGATGGCTCCACAACTGTCTGTGTCCTTCAGCTGACTAGGGTCCTGCTGGACAAGCTAGTGCCTCTGTGCTGCCCACGGAATGCTCATGCGGTCTGATTGTCCTCACAAGGCCCAGGGGCACATGAAAAGGATTCAGTCTGGTCAGTGTATACCCGTGACTTCCTACAGGGTTTGGCTTGGCAAGACTGTTTTCCTCTGCAACTGGGAGAATGGAATTCACATACGTTCAAAGTTGTTGGGGCACCAGGTCTGTGAATAACTTACTGTTATCAAATCATTGATGTCCTACATTGTTCAATTCCAACCACCATGAGCACCTGCTGTGTCTTTGCCACTGTGTTAGGCGCTGCGGTGGCTGGTACTTTGACAGCTTTCTTTCCGGCACTTTACTCGTTTTGTTGGTTTAATCCTCACCACAGCCCTATGAAGCAGGCTGCGCCTTGCCCCCATCTGTGGAAGAGAAGCAGAACCTGGAGGAGTGGAGTCGTCTGCTTGGGGCACTGCTCTCACTGAGGCTGGGTGCCAGTCTCCCTAGACTGACTCAGCTGCCTCCCAGGAGCTCACAGTTGGCAGCACTTTCCTTCCTGTTTCCCTGGAATTTTACAGTGGAAATTTTATTTCTTCCCTCATTTTATTTTATTTTTATTTTGAAGAGGTAATTCACATAATTCAAAATTGACAAGTATACACAGGGAGAGTGACTCACCCCACAGTGTCCCCAGGACACCCAGCGTGTCACCCTAGCTGGAGCCAGTGTTTCCTTATAGCTTTCCAGAAGTTCTAAGCAAATCCAACAGACAAATATACCTGTACATATTTTTCATTTTTAAACATGTAAATTATATTTACTATCTTCTGTTTTGCACTTGCTTTTTAAAAAAGTTCATAACAGCATATCTTACAGATTATTCATGTTATCACATGAAGAAAATGTTATTATTTCTTAAGACTGTGTAGTATTTCTTTATATGGCTGAACCATCATTTACTTGGGCCTCTATAATGAAAATTTAGACTTTTCCAGTCCTTTGCTGTTACAAACACTGCTGCAGTGAATAATCTTATTTATATCATTTTTTTATATGTACATATGTCTGTAGAATAAGCCCTACAAGTGGAATTCCTGATTCAAAGTCATATGCTAGAAATTATCTTTTAAGACCCGACTATATGTTTACAAAAAACACTTTAAACATAAAGACATAAACAGATTGAAAGTAAAATGGTGGCAAAAGATGTACCATATAAATACCAAGCAAATAAGGTTTTTGATTATGCTGATACCAGACAAGTAGATTTCAAGGTGAGTAGTATTCCTAGAGACAAAAGGGCATTTCATAAAGATAATGGTAATCAAATAAACCTAACAATCCCTAGGTGTGTATGCACCTGTGTTGGGAACCCCCCAAGACCACCTCCCAGGTCTGAAGATTCTCCAAGGGGACTCACATGACTCAGCAGACTCAGCATATAGTTATATGACTGTAGTCACATGACTCAGAATACTCACAGCTAAGATTTATTGCAGCAGGAGGCTACAGAGCAAGATAACAAGGGGAAGAGGCATATGGGGAGACATCTGGGGGAAGCGGGCACACGCTTTAGGGGTCTGCTCCCCATGGAGCCTCACAGAATGCAGATAGTTCCCACAGCAATGAATTGTAATAACACATGTGAAAATTCCCGACTCCCAAAAGGGAAGCAGGTGTTCCCCATATACCACTGTGTATAAACAGTTTAGGCATGGTGAACCACTCTTACCAGTTAATTGGGAGGACCCTCCCAACATCTTGGCTCCCAGATTCCAGCCAAGGGCCACACTTGAAAGAGCTGGCCTTTCCAAGCATCACAGTCAGGTTGCTGTGATAACGCTTGTGCACAGCACCCAATAACGAGGCTTCCAAATTCACGAGGCAAAATTGGACAGAAGTAAAATTCAAATTCACAGTCATAGTTGGAGACTTTTCAGTCTCCTCTCTTAATAATTTTTTTTTTGAATTGGAGTCTCACTCTGTCGCACAGGCTGGACTGCAGTGGCATGATCATAGCTATCACGGCCTTGACCTGCTGGACTCAGGCAATCCTTCTGCTTCAGCCTCCTGAGTAGCTGGGACTATAGGCATGTGCCATCATACCTGACTAAGTTTTTGACTTATTATAGAGATGAGGTCTCACCATGTTGCCCAGGCTGGTCTTGAGCTCCTAGGTTCAGACCATTCTCTTGCCTCAGCCTCCCAGAGTGCTAGGTTTACAGGCATGAGCCACTGTGCCTGACTCTTTGCTTAATAATTAACAGAACAAGCCGGGCTTGGTGGCTCAGCCTGTAATCCCGCGCCTTTGGGAGGCTGAGGTGAATGGATTGCCTGGGCAGCAAGACCTCATCTCTACAATAAATCAAAAAATCAGCCGGGTGTGGTAGCGCATGCCTGTAATTCCGGCTACTTGGAAGGCTGAGGCGGAAGGATCTCCGGAGCCCAGCAGGTCGAGGCTGCGGTGGCCGGAAGTGGCCACTGCACTCCAGTCTGGGCGACAGAGTGAGACTCCAACTCAAAAGAAAAAATAATAATAATTAACAGAACAAATGCACCAAATTCTCATAAGGATTTGGAAGATCTGAACAACACCATCAACCACCCTGACATCTCTTAAACACTACCCTCACCAAAAATAGAATACACATTCTTCTCCAGTACGCATGGAACATTCACCAAGACAAATCATATACTGGGCCATAAAAATGTCTCAACAACTTTAAAAGAATTCAGATTATAAAGAGTATGTTTATTGACTACCATGGTATTAAATTAGAAATAAATAACAAGAGACCTAGGGACTCCTCAGATAGTTAACATACTGGTAAATAATCCTAGAGGCAAAGAATAATCAGTAGGGAAATTAGAAAATAATTTGAACTGAGTAGGGGAAGTAAATAAAATTTGTGGACTGTAGCTATTGCAGTCCTTTGAGGGAAATTTATAACATACAACTGTATTAGAAAAGAAGAAAGGTACAAAATCAGTGGCCTTTGCTTCTTTCTTGACAGCCTAGATAAAAAACAAATACAAGATAAGTAGAAGAAAGGAAATGGTAAATACAGTTGTGTGCTGTTTAATGGCAGGGCACATTCTGAGAAATGTGTTGCTTGGCAACCTTGTCATTTTACGAACACCATCAAGTATTCTTATACAAACCTGGATGGTATAACCTACTACACACCCAGGCTGTATAGTGTAGCCTATTGCCCTCAGGTTCCAAACCTGTACGGCATGTTGCTGTAGTGAATACTACAGGCAATTGTAACACAACGGTGAGTATTTGTATATCTAAATATAGAAAAGATACAGTAAAAATACAATATTATGATCTTATGGGACCACCATTATATGTGCAGTGTGTTGTTGACTGGAAGTTCATTATGCAGCACATGACTGTGAGCAGAAATCAGTAAAGGACAAATAATGGAGAAAATCGTTGGAGTGAGAAGTTTGTTATTTTAAAAGATTATTAAAATCGATAAAGCTCTAGCAAGACTAATCAAGAGAAAATAGAAAACATTATCAATATTCAAAATGAAAGACGCATCACTACATAGCCACAGATATTAGAATTATAAAGTTGCGTTTTATCAAATATTAAAGGAAGAAATAATACTAATTCTAGACAAACTCTTTTGGAAACTAGAGGAGGAGGAGGGAACGCTTTCCAACTCAGTTGCTGAGGTCACTTAGTAACCCTGCCACTCAAACCAGTCAAGGACACGACAGTACAGACTGATATCCCTCATGAATATCAACACAAAAATCTTTAAAACATTAGGACATCAAATCCAGCAGTGTCTATAAAAGATAATATGTCAGCATCAAGTGGGGTTTATTGCAAAGTTGGTCTTCCATAAAAAAAAATCAATCAAAATACAGTATGTGAAGGAAGATAAAGTTGGAAATAGAAAAGAAAGTTTGACTTAGTCTTACAAGTTCATACAGTTTTAGTTTTGAGAACTGACAGCTTTAGATGACAGCAAACCTCCCTAAGTAAGGTGCTGGGCTAAGATGATTACATGCCTATTTTGAGCACAGAACACTTTGTTGATTAGTTTAGTATGTTTCTCTCACTGTTCCATTTACTTTTATTTGCTTAGTCTAATTTTACCATGAACATTAGTTGTATACCGTTAGTTGTATTTCTTTATTTTGGGATGGCTTCTCAATTCAGTTTGATCCCTATTGGGCTCCCTGATATGTGAGGAATGTGCAGGGGAAACAGATGCCTTTGCTCCATATCCTGCCTTCATGGAGCTCTAGTAGAAACTTATTTGCATAGAATTTGGTGCAGAGTAGCATGGAGATGGAGGGGGTGGTTAGGGTAGGTGTTCTGGAAAGAAGTCCAAGCCAGCAGCAGAGATTTGGGGAGCTGTGGGGTCCTGGCTGGTGATTACTCTGAGATGATGTTAAGGAGGAGGAGGAGGCTGATGGTGGCCTGTGCAGGGGCGAGGAGGTACACATACTGAGTACCTGCTCATGTAAGGCCTTGCCTAGGCCCTGAGCATAGAGCAGGGAACAGAATTTCCAGGCTTGTGCCCTCACAGAGCTCATGTTCTAGTTGGGGTAACAAACAATCGACATGCAGAAGCTGGATTATCATCCTGGGAGATAAAGCAGGCAGAGGCGGGTCTGGGGGGCAGTGGTGGGAACTACAGCCTGATAGGTGCCAGGAGTGTGAGGCCCTTGGAGGAGGCAGTGCAGCCAGTGTGAAGGGGCGAGGAGGGGGCACAAGGGGCTGTGTGCAGAGGCAGCCAACGGGACTCCCTGCGCTGAGAGAGAGGGCAGGCTCGGCTGTGCCCTTCTTCCTGTCCCCGTAGATTACACCACCTCTCTCCCAGGGCTTCCCTAGAAACGTGGGACTCAGGGCTAGACCTGGGGGGCTGGGCAGACTGCCCGTCCCTCTCCCCTCACATGCACAGCCTTCCTCAAGAGCAGAACCAGGTGGGCCTACTTCTTGTCACCTGCACTGTCCTGTCCTCTCTTGCCTGGTGGTGGCCGCAGCCTCCTGACTGGCCCTCGCCCACTCTCTCTCTTCACCACATGCATCTCTGCTGTAGGAATTTCCTTCTGATCCTGGGTCGAGTGTGTCGTTTCTGCCAGTCTTTCCTGGGCTTCTTGTGTCCTTTGGTGAACACCCAGCCTTCCCTGGCACCTAGAGGCCTGCGGAGCTGCCCTGTGCCCTCAGCTCGTCTCTCCTCTCTTTACTGCCAGCCTGCTGCAGTCAGGCAGGCTGTCTGTCTACCACGTCCTGGGCTTGTTTTTGTCCAGGTGTGGTGAGGCTGGCAGGTCAGGGTTTGTTACACGGGGCTCCTGAGAGGAGGGCTGCACCACGTGCTGTATGGTCACGTGGAGAAGCCTGGGTTGGTCAGGTGGTAGAAGAGGGACTGGGAAGCATGGGCAGAGCCTTTCTTGTGGTTTTGTGGAAGGGATGGGCAAGGCAGGGTGAGAACGGAAGGGGCTAAGGACCTAAGTGGCCTCCAAGGCTTAGGGCGGCCCCTAGGCCTGGTTTCTGACCCTGGAAAGATCAGGGCAGAAGAGCACTGTCTCCTGGGGAGCACCGGCCAGGCTCTGGCCCAAATGTGGTCTGGCAGGCGCACCATTCACTATCTCCAGGAATTAGCTAGCTCTGGGGGATGGTCTCTCCCAGCAGTAAGGCCCCTGATGCCAGCAAATTGAGGATACAGAAAAGACAATACAGCTCAAACAACTGGACGGAGTTGCTACCATTGTTGGGTCCTGAGCACCCATGCACGTGCACTTCAGCCCCGGGACCTTTGGCTTTGCTGCTCCTTCTGCAGGGTCACACCGCCAGAGGCCCTGTGCTACTTATGCTCCTCTTGGTTCTTAGCTCTGACATCACCTTAGAGCACCCCCCAACCATCCTAAGAGAGCAGACCTGGCTGCTCCCCTGCCCCAGCCCCGTGTTTCTCCTTGTCAGTCCTGTGAGGGCAGAGCCCTCGTTTGTTTTTTTCCCTGCAGTATCCCTAGCATACAGAGCAGATGCTTAACATTTGCTACATGACTGAGCGAAAGAAGAACAGAGAACACCTTGTCCCAGGCGAGAACCATGCCACTGCTGGTTGCAACCAGTAATGAAAGAACTAAATACAAAAATGAAAACTCACTGTCAGTAGTAAGGCTTTTGAAAACAGGCTTTGTCTGTACAATCTCTAGCTGCTTTGTTCTGTTTTTGCAGCCATGATTTCTCCTCAAAGATCTGTGTTTCCCTTGCTAATACCACCTCAAGACAATTCTGGCAAGTTGAGGATTTAGAGTTTCTGATTGTATCAGGAGGAACTCATCTAGTTGCAAAAGATTAAAAAAAAAACCAACAAACCCAAAGTGGTTTAAGCTAAAGGTGATTTATTAACTCACAAAACAGACCCTTAGTTAGCCTGAGCTTCAGGTGCGGTTTGATCCAGAGTTTCATGTGATATCACCTGGACACCTGGACTTCTTGTCCCTTGGCTCCACGTGGTGACAGAGTGGCTGCGGCACTCCAGGCCCGCATCCTGGTAGGTGCATGTTGTGGCTGGCCTCTTGTGCCTCGTGGGCCCCGTGTGAGCTGGGACTTCAGTGCTCTCCTTGGCCAGGTCAGGGCCAAGGGCTTTGATTTATACGAGTTCAATGGCTGCGGGGAAGAGGTAGCTCCCAAAGGGAAACTGGGTGTCTGGTGCCTAAATAAGGTGGTGGATGCCCGGTGGCCGGTCAGTGACTGGCATGACTCACAACGTCATGACCCTTCAGGGCTGACTCCCCGCTGTCTCCTAGGGAGCGCTGGAGGTGCTGTCGGAGGTTGAGTGCCATCTGCGAGTGTCTTTCTTTGATGTCACCTACCGATACTTCTTTGGGAGGACGTGGAAAACCACGGCAAAGCCCACCAAGCAGCTCTCGGGGCCACCGTCCAGGATCGTCTTCAATGAGGTGAGCCCTGGTGGTGACGGGCAGGGGCTTCTCTGTGGCAGAGTGCAGGTGTGTGGGGTCCTGGGGTATCTTCCAGAGAGTGGGGCCTTGCCCGGGCAGTGCCAGCAGGCCCAGTCAGTGCCAGGCTCAGACCAGTGGCAGGCACTTTGTTTCCAAACAAAATCTAGGGTGGAAGCCAAATGGCCCAAACCAGTGAGAGTACTCTGCTCTGGTTGGAGGGAAGCGTGGGGTTCTCATCGCCTCCAAGGAACCTTGGGGTTCTTGGGATAAAGGAAGCCTGTGATCTCATCTGCTGCCACTGCCACCCTGCCCTCCTCCTTCTCCTCTTTCCTTTTAGTTCCCTCTCTCTCTTTTTTTTTAAAAGATGGAGGAACTGAGATTTAGTAAAGTGACTTACCCAGGGAATAGGTGTCAGAGCCTGGATCGACACTTGTGCCTGTGTCTCCAGACTGGGCGAGTGGGTCGGCACTGGTTGAGTGGTGTGTCCTCACTCAGGTTAGCTGCTCTGAAGACAGGTGTGCCTGTCTGAACAGTGGCAGTGATTCTGCGTACGTGTGCCCAGCTCCCTCCTGGCCTTGTTGCTCGGCACCAGCATGATGACGGCACCACCTCATAGAACTTGCCGTCTGTTGGGGTGCCATACTGGGCAGGTAACCAAGTAATTGTGGGTTGTGAAAAGTTCTTGGAAGGAGATCAACAGGAGAACGCAGAGGCCTGCAGAGGCAGGGCGATAGCAAAGCCCTCTCTGCAAGGCTGGTGTTTAAGCTGGGACCTACAGGATGAAAAAGAAGCTGGCCTGGTGACAACCAGGGACGAGGTTGCTCCAAGTGAATAGGGAAGCTCGCAGGCATTTGGGACAGGAGGACAGCCCAGGGCTGGCGTGGCAGTGAGTGGGCTTGGCAAGGTGGCTGGGCACTGTCTCCTTGGCTGGGTCTTCTTAGGGACCTGAGATTTTACTCTAAGAGTTAGGGATGTCATGGAGGACTTTTCCATGCCTGATTGCTACTTCGCAGCTGAACTTGAGTCAGGAGAGTCCTGGAAGGACCACATCAGAATATGGCAAGTCTGCAGGCCACAGTCAGAGGTGATGAGGGGGTCTGGGCTATTTTGAGTTTATGTTTCTCAGGTGTAGAGTGAGACCCAAGAGGCCTGGTGTTGTGCAGTTTGTAGATGGTAGTGACAATGGCTGTCCTTTGAGACATAACCCCTTGAGGGGTATAGCTTTCCTGCTGGGGACTGCTCAGGCTCCAGTTGGTGCCACTGCCTCAGGAGGGCTATGACCACACCACTCTTTGTATTTGGTCATCACTGAATGTTAGGACCGTGCGTGTCTTGGTGTGGGTTGAGTCCAGCTGTTGCCCTTAGTTCACAAGGTTAGTCAGGGGAGAAAACGCTCCAGGGGTCAGGAAGATTAAATGGAGACTTGTAAGAACACATGTCATGGGAACTAAAAGTGTGTCTGACATTCAGGTTGCCAAACAGCTTATGCAAATAGCTCTGAAAGGTCTCTGGCTAGCCATGTTGGAGAGAAAAGGTTTCATGTTGTTAAGTCATGTGTGCGACAGTGGGTGGCCCCTTGCAGTTCTGTTTCGGCATGGGCCATCAGCACTCCATGCCTTCTATATGGCATGGGGTTGGTAATGAGTTTCTGTGGCTGGTGATGTTGCTGATGACCTGGCCTGGTGCTGCCTTCGGGTGGCCCTCCAGGGACGGGCTGTTTCCTCTGATCTTTCTTAGGTGTGCGGAGGGGGCAGGGAAGCTCAGTGTTGTGACAGTTTGTTCCAGTGGTGGCCTTCCTTTCCCAGGGTGGGGCCATTTCATGCTCATCATCCTCCTGTGGAAGTTGGTATTCTAAGTCCCATTTTTAAGAGGAGGACACTGAGGTACTTGGAGATGGAGTGATGCCTCTGGTCCCAGGCCAGTGAGTGGAGCCCTGGGCGGTAGACGTGGGTGTGTCTGACTATGCTGCCTCCCTTGCCCGCTGTGACCTTCTGTTTCACGGGGCAGTAGGTGGGCTCGGCAAAGTGGCTGGGCAGCATCTCCTTGGCTGAGTCTTCTTAGGGACCTGGGGTTTTACTCTAAGAGCTAGGGATGTCATGGAGGTCTTCCCCATGCCTGGCAGCTGCTTCACAACTGAACTTGAGTGGGGAGAGTCCTAGAGGGACCACATCAGAACATGGCGGATCTGCAGGCCTTTTGTTTCAGAAGATTTTGTGGCATGTCAAGGGGTGGAATTAGTCTCTGAAACCAGTACTGGGAGACTTTGCAGTTACCGAGGCCCTAGGATGCATCCCCCCTCCTCCTCTCCACCCTCTTACTCTGCTAGGCGCGTCTTCAGCATTCGTACTGGGCTTGGCATCTGTGACCATGACTCTAGGAGGTCCTAGGCTCCAGGCTGAAAGTAGAGGCCTTCTGTCCCCTGATGTGCTGGGCCACAGAATAACGATCCCTGTAGGATTCTGGTCACATTGTGGGACTTGGTCTTCAGCACTGACTCTTCTCCTTCTCCACTTATCTAGGGATTAAATCTATGCCACTAAGAGGACTTCTGTAGCCGCAGACATCGGGCAGCACTTCTGATTCCACTGCATCCTGAGCTGTGGATTGTGGGCCCTTTTCCCTTTGCAGTTCTGATCTCAGGAAAACTAATTCACTTGTTCCGAGTCTGGGAGGCCTGAGCTGGTGGCTTGAATGTAGCTGTCTGTCGGAGCTGCTCAGTTCAGCCTTGGTGACCATCTGGTCATGACTCCTGTGGAGGCTGGAAATGGGTGGGGGCCAAGTGGAACACACAGTCCTTAAAGTTACTGGAAAAATCTGCACCCTCAGCCGTGGAGTCCCAGGAGTGGAGACTGTAGCCGGGGTTGTGTGGGGCACCTGGAGTGTTTCCAGCCCAGATTGTTCAGGAATGTCTTCACTGGGCTGCTATGCCCAGTGCGAACAGCAGAGGCCAGTGGTGGCCCAGGAATGAGTCTGTCCTCCCAGCCCATCAGTTTCCTCTGTCTCCTTGATGTTCTGAACACACAAAATCAGGGTTTGTTTCAGTTTAGCTAACTAAAGAGAATTCCCCTTTACTTTGTGTGTGTGCATGCATGTGTGTGCTTGTGTGTGCGCGTACCATGTACACGTTTCTGTTCACACGTGTGTGGGAACATTCGTAGGCGTGAGGGTGTGGTGGTGTAAGGCATTGAGCTCACTGGTTGCTCCAGCCTCATTCCTGTGGAGACAGAGAACCCCTTTTAGAGGTGGTTCTGAGATTTGGCAGAGGTCTTTTTCTGGTTTTGCTAATTGCCTGTGTTTTTCTTGTTTCACCCCTTGGCAATGGCTTGAGGGGATTTGATTTGATTTGAGGTCTATGAGCCACTGGTCACAGGGGACTGCGTTTGGAGCCACCATGGCTGTCCAGGTACACGTGCACTAAGGAGTTGCCTTCTCGTGCTCTGGGCTTAATCATGGGTCGTAGGATATGCAGCCCTGAGAGAAAGTACTGTTTCTTGACTGTGCAAACAACAATATCCTGGAAAAAGACTTTGGACAGTGAAGTTTTATCTTCACTCTGGGCTGGGTGTTTTTTTTTTTTTTTTCGTATAATGATGTTCTTTGCACTGGGCCCGTATCCCCCTTGAGGGCTCGGCTACGGGAGCAGGGCTAGGGACAGGAGAGCAGCCTTCAGACCTCTCTCGGCTCTGAGCCTAGAAGTCTGTGTTCTCTGAGGCCCTCCCTGGTGGCGAGGAATTGCTTTTCACTTCCTCCGAGACAGTTAGTAATTCATTCAACCACTAGAAAAAAAAAAAAAACTCTTTTAAAAACTCATCTTGGCAGCCGTGGTGCCAGGCAGCTTCTCCATTTTTTTCCTGAGACAACACACATCTTCCGTGGAGTCTTTCCTTAACTAGCCATGACCCAGCCCCTGGTGGTGTGCTTGTCTCTCGTCTTATTTGAGGAGAGTTACTGAGCAGGAAGCCTGGTGGTCTCAACAGACAGCCTGAACCCAAAGCCAGTGCATGCCAGCCCCAGTGTTGCTCAGGTAACAGGGGCAGTCACCCACCCTCGCAGTGACATGGTGATCGGGTTGCCTAGGAATGTCCCTGCACACGTGTGAACAGAAATGTGTACATGATATGCACACACACAAGCACACATACGCATGCGCACACACAGAGCAAAGGGGAATTCTCTTTAGTTAACTAAACTGAAACAAAGCCCATTTTTCTGTGTTCAGATTGCCAAGGATACAGAGGAAACTGCCAGATTGGCAGGACAGACTCCTGGGCCACCACTGGCCTCTGCTGCTCGCACCGGGCAAGGTGGTCCGGTAACCACACCATGAGAAGGTGACTCCGGAGTGAACTTGGCAGGGCTCCCCTTTGGGAGTGAAGCCATCACGGAAGAGCATTGTAGTCCAGGGAAGCTCCTGGAGCCCTTTGGAATGCCTCGCTGAGCCAGCAGGTTCTGGAATGTGCGTCAGCTGTTGCTGTGGAGCAGCTGCAGCCTCTCACAGGTCTTTGGTGTCACTTGCCTAGGGGAGTCTGTCCTGAATGCAAGTAATTGCAGCAGAAGCAGAAGCGGCTTCCTTTCCCGAGAGCTGTTTCCATAGAGGGAGGCTCATGGTCCAGGCTGGCCCTAGGGCAGGCTCTGTGTGCCCATCTGTCTGCAGCCATGGAGGGCTGCTTTCCTCCTGGCTCAGCAGAAACCAGTGAGGCGGGTGGGAGCCTGAGATGGGGGTGAAAGAAAATGATTTCTAGAAGGAGAAATCTCTCTGTGATGTTTCGATACTGGGGCTTAATTGTGCAGTGCTTGAACTGCCAGGCGTCTGGGGACAGTAGAAGCTTATCAGCTGTGCTCCTGTGAGCTCACAACGGCACAGTGTGGGTGCCTCTTGCTTTGGGTTTTCTTGTTGCCTTTTCTGAGTAAGCCAAGGAGTTGTTCTCTAGCCTGGAGTGAGGGCTGGCCTTGGCCATGAGTGTTGGATTTGAGGAGGATAATGTGGGCTGGAGTCCTGCCCATCACAGGTTTGTTCCTGTGGGACAGCAGGCATGTTGTTTCAGCTCCTTGACCCTGAATCCGTTCATCGGATGATGAGAGAGAACGGCGTACATCTCACACATGCCACTCGAGTGTTAAGCAATGTGTTCTCGCCAGTAGGCCCCAGGGGGCAGGCGGTGTGTGCTCGGCAGTCGTCGGCCTAGCGGCTACGGCATGCCGGTTTCTCTGAGCAGTTTGACGGACAGAGACGGACCGGCGGTGCCCAGTCCTTTCAGCCCGGGCTGAAGTTGGCAGCATTGCTCTAGGCCAGGAATTTTTAGCCTTGGCCCCACTGACCTGGCGGCCAGATAAGTCTTAGGGCAGGATGCTGGCCTTGTCCCTACAGTTGTGACGCTTTGCTGTCGGAGCGGTGGGCCCCTCCCTCTCATGTTTCTGATGAGTAGTGTCCAGGGAACTGAACCCATACTGTGAGGCGAGCATGTGGAAACTGCGTGGATTACTTAAATTGCTTGCCTTCCTAGAGACATTCTAGTAAGGGTTTATTTTTAAAGCCTTCCTTGGAAAGGACTGGCTTAATTTTGCTCTGCACTTTCTGGCCCTGTCATCCGTGTCACGTCGGCGCCAGCTCACGTGAAACACAGTGGGGAATGCCTGGCCATGGCTTCTGCATCCTGACTCGTCACCGCAGGTGAAAGATGGAAATCTGGCCCTGAGGCAGAATGGTGGCCGTGTTTTTGAAGATCAGGTCATGAGGACAGGAACACTTAAATGATTTATGAGTTGTTTAACCTGTCAGGGAGAAACCTGTCCAGGGTGGGTGAGTGAGCCGGCTCCTGTGTCCCGGGGCCCTTCTCCTGCAGGCCAGTGAGGGGCTTAGTGTACCCTGTTAATCATGTACTGCAGTGGCTGCAGCGAATGTCCCGCCCAAAAGTACAGCCTTGGCATCATGTAGTTTCCCTTGACTGAGGGCTTGTGTCTAGGGCTGCCAGCTGAGTGCTGTCTGACTTCTGGCTGAGCCCATTTTTGTGCCAGGAGGGTGGGGAGTGGGTGGGTGGGGGGTACAGGTGATTCGCTCTAACGTGACTTTGCAAGGATGACCTGAGGATTTTGGCTGTGCAGCCCTGCTCGTGTCTTCATCCCTGGGAGGCCCTTTGCATCCACAGCATCTCAGCACTGTTCACGCCTGAGCAGGCTGGTACTTTCTATCCATCTAATGTGTCCTTTATCAAGCCTCTGAGCCCTGAGCCTCTTGAAGGCTGAATTATTTTCCAGTTTCCTTATACATTCTTTAGTGTGGTGCCATTTCTGGACTGGAGGGCCAATGAATGATTTTTGGAAAAGAGCACATGTCCTTACCGATCAGTAATAATACTTGTACACCAACTGGGCTTATAATGCATGGTGCCTCCAGTGGCTGGCTCCTGATGAAAGATGGGTCCTTTTGATTCTAAGGTTGAACCAGCCAAGACAAGCAGCTGTGGAGCTCTGTTGTTGTTGTTGTTTTGGTCTCAAAAGAATTATTTTTGGTGGTAAACGAAAGGGAGCAGTGTAGCCGTAAACTTGCACTTGGGATATGCCCTTGGTCGCTCATCTCACCGCCTTAGGTAGAGTAATTTCAAGGTGACCTCCAAGTGGGAGATGATTGCTGCTTCGAATCAGAGTTGAAAGTGTTTATTTTATTGCCAAGAGAAGTAGGTAGTGTTCATGAAACGGATATGCTCGGGTATAAATATAATAGGTGAGATAATGACCAACTTGACTTCACAGTGGGGCTTTTAAAAAACAGTTCTTGAGTCTTGGAAACAGAAGCATAATTCTCTTTTGATCCAACCACCTGTCAGCTGTAAGTGGTCATTATTTCATCATTTTGCAATAAAAGATAATAGAATAACGATTTATATCTCATGGCTGATGTTTTAATGTGTCTCTCTGTTATCCTGGGCTGACAGTCTGTGATGACAGTAAACGTTTTCTCAGTGACACCATGGTAATGACTCCTTAATAGGAGGATTATTCCAAGTTTAAATCACCATGCAGAAGATCAGCCTTGGCCCTGCCCTACTTCCCTCTGCTTTGGGGATGGTCTTTGTGCTCAGCCACTCAGCCTGATGTCAGGTCATGAGGACTCTGAGTCCAGCGCCCAGCTCAGCACCTCTTCTGATGCCTGTGGGTGCTTGTTCCCTGTTGGTCAGCTAACTTAGACAGACAGCAGCTCCGTCTCTGTCTTCTGTGTCTGTGATGTTCATTAGTGTTAAAGAAAAACAACTGCATTGAATTTAATGCACTAGAAAGGAAGCAACAGAGTGAAGCTGCTTTCATTTCCAAGTGGGCATGCCCATGTTAAATGCAGAGAGGGATTTGACCCACCTGTCCTCTCAGGTTTCCCCCCCCCCCAGCTCTGGGGGTAGGCAGGAAGGCAGAGAGTCAGAGGTCAGCCATTTGCATGTTGGGGAATGGAGAGGTTGCCAGTGGAAAACCTTTTAAGATCAACTTGAATATTATCTACTTGGCTTAGATCTCAAGAAATCTTTTAATAAAATGACCTCATGTCTGTTTTGGGTATAAAAAGACCTTAGTTGGGCTCTGAACTTAGTACCTTGAGAAATCTTAGGATCCTTCCTAGTTTAAATACAGTCAGTTCAGATGAAGCTTCATAATAGTTACACGTGAAGCAGGTTTTGAGTCAGTACTGTCAGTTGGGATTGACATCTGTGTTGAGTGTCAGGTGAAGTGGGGCGTGGACTGGTCATCTCATGGGTCTGTGGTGGACCTGTGATGTCTTGGACTGATCTCACCGTGGTCCTGCCTGGTGTTATTCCCTCGGTGGAGTGCACAACCACTCCTGCCCCTTTGTGCTGGTGTGGTGACACTTTTTTGTGGTGGAATTCCTAGGGCGTGGGAAGTTCCTGGAGCAGAAGCAGATAGTCCTGTGTCCTGGGTGTTAGGTGTTCTGGAATGATAGTTCTGATACCAGCTCAACTCTGAGGGAGCTATTTTAGCATGCTTATTTTCCTTGCATCTGGAGGGGATGCAGTGTTCCCCGTGGGGCATGTGGTGAGAGTCCTGGATGCTTGTGTTGTGTCTAAGATGGCGGTTGGGTGAGGAACAGCACCTGTCTTCTGTGTGTGTGTTCTCTGCAGGCCATGGACACCCAGCCCACCCTCTGGCTTCTGTTTTGCAGCCCTTGTATTTTCACACATCCTTAAACCACCCTAACGTTGTGGCGGTGGTAGAGGTGGTCGCTGAAGGCAGAAGACAGGATGGGGCCCTCCAAGCATTGTCATGTGGCTTCGGAATCCTTCGGATCTTCAGCAACAGGCCAGAGTCTCCTGCTGCTGCCTCCCAAGACAAACGGTACCCCCTTGTCTTCTCCATCTGGGGGCTTTCTGGCATCTTCCTGTGGTGGCTTGGCTGTTCATCTCTTGGTGACAATAGAAAGCCTTACATTTGTCACCTGAAGTTGTGTGCTCATATCAGCATGATGTGGGGTGTTTTTTGCCTGGGAGTGGAGGGGGGTTGCCACTTTTCAGTGAGCCAAAGGATTGTGCTTTAGGCCAGAGTGAAGATTGGCTTTGACCATGATGATTGGATCTGAACTAGGGCAGATATGGACTCATGCCTCGCTCCATCACTGATTCCCTGTGGGGCTCAGACACATTGTTTAAACTCCTTGACGATTGATTCATTCGATCTTGGATGATTCAGGAATTCATCCATCTGTGCAAGTGGGCTGATAACATGCATATCTCATAAGGGCTGCTTGAGTGTTAATGTGTTTTCCACAAACAGGCACCCAGTGGGTGAAAGGTATTCATTCAGCAGACGTTGGCTGAACACGTACTATGTGCCAGCCTCTGTGCAGGAGCTAGATGAACAGAGATGGACAAGGTGCCACCCAGTCCTTTCAGCCAGGGGTGAAGTTGACAGCATTGCTCTAGGTCAGGGTTTCTCAACCTTGGCACCACCGACAGGGTGGCCAGATACTTCCTTGCTGTGGGGGTCCATCCTGTGTGGTATGGGATGTTTGGCAGCATCTCTGTCCTCTACCTGCTAGATGCCAGGGGCACCCCCTGCCCATTGTGACAACCAATCACCAAGTGTGCCCAGGGGGCAGAATCATCCCTGGCTGGGAATTCCTGCTCCAGATGCACAAACATGGACATTCCTCAAATGGTGTCTTTCTTGGGACACTACAGAGTTTTATAAGCGTCCACTGTTCTTTGGCTCCTTGGTCCTCAGCTGCCTTAGGACAGGGCTGTTTGTATGCCAGGCATGCTTGACCAGGAGCACTGAGGACTGGAGAGCTGATGTTCCCCTCAGCTGCTCTGTTTTCTGCGGTGGATGTGATTGGTGGGTTTAGAAGGCTCTAGTAAGTGTGGTGGTTGGGGCTTCCCCATGCTTTCCTTCTGAGTGTGCAGCTAGTGATGTGTGCTCCTGGCTCCTGTCTTTCAGGTTGCGGTTGTACCATGGCACCCCCAGAGCCCTCCTGCACCCACTTCTCCAGGACCCCACAGAACGTAAGAGCTGGCCTGACCTCGGCCACACCTGCTGGTCTCATGCCTTTCCTGAGTATTCTCTACCTTGAGCTCACTCTGTCTTGTGATCTTTCTCTGTGTAAACCACTGTTAGCCTAGCTCATTTATTTAATAGGTTTAGGCAAATGTACCGTGATCTTGGGTTTTGGCATAATTTAAAAGAGCTGAGATGCACTAGCCCAAAGGGAGGGCATTGCTTTGTGAGCAAATGAGCTTGGGAGGGCCTGTGGGAGCCACCTGGGGGAGCCACCCGGGGGCAGGAATTGGCCTTTCTGCCTCTTGGAGAACAGCTCTGCCCACCAGATGAAGTAGTAGCAGTCCATTGCTGGCCACTGGCTGTCCAAGGAAATCTGATTGTAATGTCCCTTAGTTATCTCCAACACGGCAAGGACTCCCATCTTCCATGAAGCCCAGGGCGGAGAGGCCTGTCCTAGGGTGTGGGCTGGGGGTTCCTGCTGGGCCTCTGTGACCAGCTCCTCCCTGGCAGCCAGAGGTATGCTACTCAGGAGGGCTGGGCTGTGCAGCCCACTCCGCTACTGTGCACCTGGAGGATGATGGTGATGCCCTGTGGAAGTGAGGAGGGAGAACTCTGGCCACTGGGACACTGGTGAGGCCTGAAGCACAGAGGACCTGCTTGCCCTGGGAGTGTGGGCGGGGTAGAGTGGCCGGGTGGATCTGGTGGGGAGGGTGACTTCCTGTCTCTTGAGATGGGAAATTGCCTGGATGCTTGGAGCTGTTGTGTGTGCTACATGACCTGTGTTATGGAGTCAAACCAGCCTTCCCCCCATGGAACTTGGTGAAAATCTCATGGTGGGAAACAGTTAAAAACTTAATTTTATTTATAAAGATTGGCTTTTAGGTTGTTTTTCAACAGAATCTAATAATATTCTTGCCAGGGTTTTCTCTCCTGGAGTATCCTTAGAAGTGGGAACTTTTAATAGAATGTACACAGTCACCACGTTCATTCCATGTCCACAATCCCAGATGCTATTCCAGTGTTCTAGTGGAAGCCGGGAACTTACGTGGGAGGTATGAGGAGGAGCCAGCCTTGGGATCGTGAGCTCATCCTTGCACTTGGCATTTCCAGAAAGGTGCTGGTCATGGTGATATGCTCACATGACCCAGAGTTTGAGAAATGTGAAAGTTCAGAGTGAGGGCTCCTTTCCCCTGGTCCGCCTGCCACCTGGAACCTCTCTCTGCATTCCTGTGGATGTTTCTAGAATCTTTCCTGGACACAGCTGCACATGCGTGTAACTTTCTCTCCCTGACAGTTGATCTTGGGGAATGTTTCCTGTCAGTGCATGGAAAGCCCTTTTTTTTTTTTTTTTAACAGTTCTGTGGTGTTTTACTGGATTGATGTTCCATGATTGACTGAGTCAGTCTTTTACACACGATGCTCGGGTGGTTCTGGAAGAAAAGGATGGAAGCTACGTTGTGGTGGCTGCCTGCCCTTCTGCCAACCTGGGGGTGGACCTGCAAGATACAATCCTAACTGAGTGCAACACCTGGCTCTGAGGGTCTGAGCATTTGGGCTTTGCCATATTTCTCCTAGGGGCCTTCCGTAGGGGTTGTGCCAATTTTCTCTCTGACCAGCCATGTAGGTAAAATGTCTTTCTGCAGCATTTTCAATTTTAAAGTAAGCAGATTCTATGTTTGGCGTGGTTAGGTATTATAAATGCAGTTTTCAGGAATTTACAATAGTTCATATTTAGCTCCTTTATGAAATCAGAAAATGAATGAGATGAATTTTTAATTCTCAGCAGCCTTCCACAATATGGCCACAACCAGAACTCTCATAACCAGCCTGGCTAAGATGAAAGGCATGCCTTGGGGGTTGGGGAGGTCCCTGTCAGTGGAGGAAATCAAACCAAAGCAAGGTGGACAATCTGGGAATATGGGAATGTGAAGACGGCATATCTGCGGCTCTGTGGTTCTGGGGTGTTCCCCTTTCTGCACCCAGTTTCTGTGGATGCCGTCCCTCGGTCCTGAGTGCTGACTCCTCCCACCACATGCCCAAGCTCTTCCCCGGTATTGTTTTCTCAGGGAGCCCGTTCCTCGCGCCCTTGCTGAGAGCATTTGCTTCCTCCTCTCACTTCCCTTGAGGCATTATCCGAACTCATTCATGGTTTGGGTCCAGCTCACCCATGCCATATGGATGTGGGTATGGTTGTGTCTCAGCTGTCACCCCAGGAGAATGGTGCCTACTTAAGGACAGGGCTCTGACTCTGATGCTGTGGCCTCCCTCCAGTCCTGCTCCTTGGTGAGACTTGATGGATGTAAGTGCTGGCGCCTAAGGAAGGCAGGCCGTGGCTCCTGAGTATCTTCCGACCTCCTCTGATGGTGGGGGCCAGCGTGCCCGGGAACCACAGAGCCCTGTGCTTGTCTGTCCCTCATCAGACTAGGGGAGAGGTGGGCAGGAGAGATTTTATGTTGAATTAAAACCAAATGTCTGTAGGCTGGGCGTGGTGGCTCATGCCTGTAATCCTAGGTGGCAGGATCACCTGATCCCAGGAGTTCGAACTTACGGTGACCTATGATCCCTATGACCAGGTCTCCTGGGCAGCAGAGTGACACCCTGTTTCTAAAACGAAACAAACAAACAAAAAAACCTCTTTAATTGCAACTTTACCGAGAGAGTTATTAAGGATCCATGCTTTCCACTTTTAGGCTGAACAAAGGGTAGGTCTCCTCTCTCCATAAAAAAATACCTTTTCTGTTTTTGTGTTTTTTTTCTAAGATTGTCTGTTTCTTGACCGATTTGACCGGGAGTGCTTTTGTTTTTAGCAATCACATTGATGTTTTCTTCCCCAGAAAACAAGCACATGACCATCATGGAGAACTGCAGCCTGCACTACACCCTGAGGCCACACCCGCCCCTGGAGGCTGCATTCCACCTGCTTCCCGAGAACCTTCTGGTGTCTGGTCTGCAGCCCATCCCTGGCCTCCTTCCAGCTCATGGAGAAATGGGTAAATCTTCTTGGATTCTGTCTGCTTTGTGAGTCTTTGCTAGTTTACGGTCTGTCTCAAGGCACTGGGCTCCTGGGGGTAATGGGCCAGAAGGGGTTGAGCACCATCTGCAGTTCAGCATGGCCTGTGGTGGGGGACGTGGGGGAAGGAAATAGCGCTGGCAATCTGGTTTGAAGCCCTTCCTGAGTAGTGTCTCATGACCCTCAAGTCACTTCTGTCTTCCTTCCTTGGGAAAATGCTTTCATGAAACACTTGCTCCTATCTTTGTGAAATCGATGAGAAACTGCTGTTACTAGATCTCACCCAAACTGTACCATGGTATCAGTGACTTGATGGTGATGGCAATTTCAGTTGAGGTGAAATAAACATAAAATATACTGTCTTAGCCATCTGTAAGTGCACAGTTCAGTGGTATGAAGCACATTCACATGGCTGTGCAACCACCACCTCCATCTGTCTCCAGAACCTTTCTGTCTTCCCAGGCTGAAACTGTCCCCATCAGACACTCACTCCCCATTCCCTCCTCCCCTCAGCCCTGCACCCACCTTTCTACTTTATGTCACCATGATTTTGACTATTCTAGGGACCTCATATGAGCAGAGTTGTACAGTAGTTGTCCTTTTGTGATTGACTTATTTCACTCAGCATAATGTCCTCAAGGTCCATCCATGTTCTAGCATGTATCAGAATTTCCTTCCTTTTTAAGGCCGGATCATATTCCTTTGCATAGATAGATCATGTTTTGCTTATTCATTTGTTGATAAATTCTTGGATTGCACCTACCTTTTGGTTATACTGAGCAATGTTCTGATGAACATGGATGTGCTGTGACTTGATTATTTTTAGGAACTGAAATTCATGGGAAAGGCTAAGGACTCTGTCTTGGTGTGGTTTTCAAAGGTTAGTTCTCCTGTGGTGGAATTGGGTCAATCCTTACCCAGCTGTGGGAGCTTTAGGGGTGTGCTCTGACCTGTTGGGGGTGTGCTCTAACCTTGATGGGGGTGTACTATGACCTTGACGGGGATGTGCTCTGACATTGGGGGTATGTTCTGACACTGTTGTAGTATGCTCTGACATTGGAAGTGTGCTCTGATCCTGTTGGGGCTGTGCTTTGACACCGCTGTGGCTGTGCTCTGACACTGTTAGGGGTGTGTGCTCTGACACTGTGAGGGTGTGCGCTGACATTGGGGGTGTGCTCTGACATTTTTGGGGGTGTGTTTTGATACTGTGGAAAGTGTGATCTTACATTATTGGCGGTGTGCTCTGATGCTGTTGGGATGTGATCTGATGTTGTTGGGGATATGCTCTGACCCTGTTGGGGATGTGCTCTCACATTGGAGGTCACTGGATACTCTGACATTGGAGGTGTGCTCTGACACTGTTGGGGGTGTGCTCTGACATTGGAGGTCACTGGATACTCTGACATTAGGGGTGTGCTCTGGCACTGTTGGGGGTGTGCTCTGACACTGTGGGGGGTGTGCTCTGATCTTGATGGGGGTGCTCTGACATTGTTGGGGTATGTTCTGACACTGATGGGGGTGTGCTCTGGCCTTGCTCTGACAACACTGGATCTGTACTCTGCTATGGGATTCTGCTGGATGGTCCTTGTGACCTGGGTCCAGTGCTCCTTTGGTTCTTTGGCTCTTTGTCTGGCTGTCTTGAGGAATCCAGGAGAAGGGGTCACATTGACTCTTTCCTGCTTGTCACATGCTGGAGATTCCTGGCACTGCCAGAACCTGCTGCCTCGGGTGACTGACCCGCTGCTTGGTTCTGGGAAGGGCAGGATTTGACCCTGTGTGTGAGGGGCTGAGATCAAGAGTAGTGATGTGATGAGCGTTTGGCTCATCGATATGTGCGAGACTCTGAAGAAAAGGAGGCAGCTTGGCTGCAGCACAGAGTGTTTGTGTTGGGGATGACGTCCCTGTGTGTGGTATAGGCATTCTGGTTTGTGCTGGGATGCAGATGTTATATCTGAGTTAGTTAATTTCTTGGATGTGTCCAGGGTGGAGGTCCCCCATGAAGTCACTGTTCTCCCAACATTCCAGAGAAGAGATGAAGGGAAATGAGAAGCGAGGCGCTAATTCTGAGCAGGAGTAAGTCGTGACTCCAGGGTGGGGCTGTCATGGCTCGCCGAGGTGAACATACCTGCCACAGCCCCCTTTAGGGACTCTTCTTGTCTCTGTAATCTGCCTGTCATTTCCTGAAAGGAGAGGAGACAGGATATCTCATTGTCCCTTCACTGTGGAGTGAAGAGAACATGAAAACCTGCATCAGGCTCTGAGACCCGGGCTGTGGCCATTTCCCTGTCCCTGGCTCTGTGACCAAGGAGGGCCCTTCAAGCCCCTCTGTGATTTGTCGCCTGGCCTGTCCTGATCTTGAGGATGAACTGTGTGCCTTTAAAGTCAGCCTTGTCAGGCTTCCTGACCTGGGAGTCTTGGGGCCCGAGGGGTGTTCATCACTTTGTGACTTGCCAGTAAGTGTCAGTAGAGCTGCAGACAAAACATAATGCCTGTGGTCACCGAGGACTGGCTGTGTCCCCTTACTGGGGCAGAGTAGGTGGGGTGCCCTAAGAAGATAGAAGTATTTTGTTCTTAGTGTCCTACATCTAGCTGGGGGGCCAAGGGGTCTCCTGGATGGAAAGGGGAATTTTGAATTAAAGAAGCCTGAGCCCAGCTTCTCATCCTGCAAGATCACATCTCAGAAGAGGCCTGAGTGTGCTAGTCCAAGTCTGCCCTCCTGGTGTGTAGCAGCCAGTTGGTCACTGAGGTACTGACACCTGCAAAATTGCACCATGAACAACAGTTTGTGCTGCTGTTTACAGTCTAGTGGGCAGGGTTTCTGTGGGCGGGTGAGCACACGCCCAGTGTCCAGAGGAGACTGGCAGCCAAGCCGGGCGCAGGCTCTTCTAGAAGGTAGGACATAGCTCCGCAACAGCCTCGAACCATCTTAGGGAGGAGATATGCTTTGCTCAGCCTTTCTCTTGTGTGTGGGACAGCGGGGAAACAGGGCTCGGAGCCGTGCATACTCTCAGTCTGCTTTCTGATGTTGTTATTGTCTCTGTTATACATTCTGCTAAGGAACTCTGGGCTTTTGTGACTCACTTTTGAAAAGGGTGTCTTGGCTGGATAATATCTGATAGCCCTGACAGGGCCAAAGAGGCACTGGTCCTTGCAGGGTGGGGGCATTCATTTGTGTAGTTCACAGAGGGTTTGATTTTATTTTGCTGCCATATTGGAAGCTGGATAGTTGTTCATTTGTAAAGAGTCACAATATGGGAAGATTGTTTTGAATTGGAATTTTTATTGAGGTCATTGTAGACTCTCATTCGGTTGTGATATATAATACAGTGTATACCTGTTCCCTTTTCTCCTCATCCTCACCAGTACTTGTTTTCTTTTGTTTTATGGATTGTGGCCATTCTAACTGAAGTGAGGCGCTATCTTATTGTGGTTTTGATTTGCATTTCCCTGATGATTAGTGATGTTGAGGGTCTTTTCACATAACTTATGGCTATTTGAATGTCTTCTTTTGAGAAACGTTTCCTAAGGTCTTCTGTCCATTTTTTAAACAGGTGTTTTTTGGTTTTTTTTTCTGTTAAGTTCCTTATGTATTCTGGACATGAACCCCTTGTCAGATGTATAGTTTGCAAACATTTTCTCCTATTCTGCAGGTCATCTCTTTGTCTGTTAATTGTGTCCTTTGCTGCCCAGGTGGTTTTTATTTTGATATAATCCCATTTATCTGTTTTTGTTTTCGTTGCCTATGCTAAAGCGAGGTCTTACTTAAAAAATCCTTGCCTGGCCCAGTGTTGTGAATCATTTCTCCTATGTTTTCTTCTAGTAGCTTCATAGTTTCAGGTTTTCCATTCCGCCTTTATTCTATTTTGAGTTGATTTTTATATGTGGTGAAAGGCAAGGAGTCCATCTCATTCTTCCACATGTGGATGTACAGTTTTCCCAGCACCGCTTATTGAAGAGGCTGCCTTTTCCCAGTGTATGTTCTTGGCAAATTGGTCAAAAATCAGTAGGCTGTAGGTGCATGAGTTTATTTCTGAAGTCTCCATTCTGTCCCACTGGACAAACCTAATGCATGTCTGTGATGGAAAAAATACAGAAAATCGTAAAGAAGGAAATAAAATAATCTGTGATTGCTGCTTACAGACGTATATGTGTACATGTAAGTGCATATATTTTTAAATAAAATTGGCATCAAATGGAATAATATATGGTTTTATATGTTCTTTTTACCTAAAATATAATATTTTTTAGTCATAAAATAATCTCTGATAATACAGTTTTTTGTACTTATGTGGTTTGAATTGACAGTTTAATTAGTGTTTCTTTATTGAACATTTGGTTGTTTTTTTATTTTTCTCTATTATCAATAAAGTTCCAATGAGTAGTCTTGCACTTAAACCTTTGCTTCCATCTTTGATTATTTTCTTTAATAGGTTCAAAAGTGGAATTCCTGGGGTAGGAAGCGGGGTATATTTTTAAGTCTTTTGATGTACATGAAGGCAAAGACAAAACGATCTTTCAGTGCTGCTGAGCACCTCCCCTCAGGGTAGTAGAGTGCTCTTTTGATGGCAGCTTCATCAGCTTTGAGTATTATCTCAGTGTTTCCTTTTTTTTTTTTTAATATAGTTTTGGAATTGAGAGACCCGCCCAGGCAACTAGGCGAGACCTCATCTCTACAATAAAATAAAAAATTAGCCGGGCGTGATAGTGCACACCTGTAGTTCCAGCTACTTGGAAGGCTGAGGCGGAAGCATTGCCGGAGCCCAGCAGGTCGAGGCTGCGGTGGCCGGGAGCATGCCACTGCACTCCAATCTGGGTGACAGAGTGAGACTCCAACTCAAAAAAAAAAAATAGGACCTTGTATTGCCATAGGTCCATAATGATAAAAACATAGGAGAAGGTGGAGCTGGGGTTAGAAGATGAAATGGTGGGGAAGTAAGAAGTAAGAAGTGCTCGGTGGGAGGCGACTGGCTTTGCTGCATC